TCTGTGCTTTAGAATTGTGACTGGCTTTGGAATCAGTGCCAGTTTTAGAAACCAGACTGTCCTTGGACACTGTGGTTCCCTTAGAGTTTGAAATGAATTTAGAACTGGTTTTGCATCCAAAATCAGCACTTGAATCTTTACTCTCAAGGTTCTCCTTTGGTTTCGTTGTATTACTGTTTATAGGTCCGGTGGCTGTTCTCTGTGTGAATGGCTTGGGACTTACAGACGTCAATAGGGTGCTCTTGTTACTCGGAAGTGCTGATTCTCCCCTCGGACTTGGTGATTTTGTAGCTGTAGAGGATGTTTCAGAACTATGAGTTCTTGAGTCATGCCCAGTTTTTGGATTTGACTTGCTGGTTATGCTCGCTGGGTTTTGGTTGACTTCCACTATTGGTATTTGATTTGCCAGTTTTGAGCTGATAGCCTTTGCCTCTGCTTTCTGGTTAGGAATTTGGGGGCTTGCAGGTAGGTGTAAAGTTTGTGGCGAAGGTGTCTTGATCACTTTCCCCCCATCCTCTTTTTGGTTTGACTGCATACTTAGACTGACTGTTATTTTATTTGTAGTCTTTGTGGTTAGTCCACCTGTCAGAGATTTTGTAGTGTTCAGGCTCTGTATTTTTATTCTTTCAGTACTTTTGGGGATGCTAGCCATTGTTGTTTGCTCCATCTGCTGTGGTTTTAGACTTGCGAGCATCTTGGTGCTAAGTCCTGGGGCATGTTTGATATTTGCTGATTTCAGCAGCTGCTCATCTCTGCATCTAACCGTTGGCTTAGCTGTTGGTGAACGAGACAAAGCTGGGATTTTGCTTTTTTGCCGTGATGGGTCATCTCTCTCTCCTGGTGATGTCACAGTGGGTGTAAGGATGCTTGCTGACATACTTACTGCTACTTTCACCCCAGGTTTTTCACCTTCTTTGGTCACATTATCCTTTTTCTGTCCCCCATGCAGCTTTGAGGACTCGATGAATGCGCGGGGATTGCTTGGTGAGGTAATATTGAGGTTAAGGTTAAAGTTAGGTTCCAGTTCAAGTTTTGTATTAGCATCTATGTTGCAGAGATTGTCTTCAAGCCCATCCTCCCTTGTAACTGGACCTTCTGATTGGATGATATCTCTCTGTCGTTTTAAAATATTTTTTGAGGTTTCCATGATAATAATGATGATGATGGTTACTGTGTATCCAGTAGAAAAAAGGACCAATTTCTATGATATTTTTCAGTTGATACTGAGAACCTGACGAGACAGATGGATAAAGAGATGATTAAAAACAATAAGCCAAGCAGAGGCTATAGATGATGCATGTTTGATTGAAAGATAGCGGTCTCACTAGGCAAAAGTATTCAAAAGTTATTGACATAATATTATGAAAAAGTGACACACAACAAGAAAAAAATGCCCCCTCACACATAGGAGTAAAGACTTAAGATTGGTAGTTCAGCCCTGTCTGGCAGCTATTTTCTGCCAAACACATGAATTCTCACGAGACCCAGTTTCACTCACGTTTGCATTTTCCCTACTGTGCTTGATACAGGCATCCATAGTCATGACTAGATTTTAAAAAGGAAATACAAGCGACCTGCTGTTTCAAAAAAAGTTCTGTACATATAATGAAACTAACTGAGACAAAACTGAAAGGAGTCACATATTTATAACATTACAATTACACTTAAGTTGACATTTTACAGCCTGGTTATAAATAGAACTACTAATGTATTACAAAAATATCAGGCAAGTCTTGATATAAATAGAAATATAATTAAAAGAGCAAGCAATAGTTTAAGCATTTTAAAGTCACTCACGGGTATTACAGAAAGCTGTCACTGGAATATTACTGCAGGCTTGTAATATATTTCCTTCATACCTGTTTAGGATCCACGTACATCACTGTTGGTTGACAAAGGCATGGTAAATGTTCGACGGTCCAACGCTGCAGACTCCCAAAGTGGAGAAAAAGTCTTCATCTGGTTCCCCGCTTCTTTCTCCTCAATGCTCTACCAGAGGAGGCACCAATGAATAAATTACAAGAGGAGGGAGCGAGGAAGTAGAGAGGAGAACGCAGGGGCTGAGAAAAAAAAGAAAAAAATTATCACACTCCCCTTATCCCATTTTTCTTCTGTCATGGATTTGTCTTCAGATGTACTCCACCATTTGATTCTATGGTTAAGACCTCCTCCTCAATTTGTAATCCCCTCTTCTTTTTTTTTAGGTTTTCCTTGTCTGTTTTTCCTGTCAACCACCCAATATTTTGAGCGCAATCTATGCCATGAAAACGTAATGCA